TTAAGTATGACGTTTCGTACTGTACATCTAGGAAACATGATATCTTCTCGGCTACTTACCCATATTTAAGCATTTCCTACCATATCTCAACTCTATTCAGGCCTTACTATCTTCTCTTTCTTTTAAATTTAAATAATTTTCCTTATGCTAATACCACGATGATTGTGGGTTGTTGACATTTTCAAAGAAGTATAAACATTAAAACTACCATGACCGGACGTGCAGTAGATAAGCTTTGTGGCTTTGTTTTTTCGAGGAACGTTCGAAACACGAACTCTGATAGTACAATGTCCTTAATGAAAAACATGTTTCTCATTTATATAAAATGATTCCTTTTTATTGTACTCGATTGGTCTCCGGGTGAGTTCTTTGCGGTGAAGATTTTTTTAGTGATGTACAAAAACGATTTCTTTAAAATTTTACTGTTGTTTTATTAAATGAACCATAAACTGCCCATCAAATTTGGATTGTTATTTGTAGGAAAAGCTTTGATAATGATGAGAATTAGAATTAAAGAAAAAACACTTGTTAATATTCAGAGGACTAGAAAAGAAAAACCTCCCCTCAGGATTTTTAAGTTGCCCGTTCACAATTTAGAATAAAAATTTGTTTAATATCAGAATATAGATTACGGTTTTTTGTTGACTCACTTTGTTCTTGCTCAGCGCAGATATATGTCCTTTCGTTTTATGTTTCTTAACTTTAGCGATAACAAAACCTTAAACACGAATATGCCTATGAACACAGTTCCGTACGAGTTCCCTTTTAAAACCTCTCGGGTCATATAACGGGGCCACTGTTACTTTATTTAAAACATTTTAGTATCATCGCGGAACAGAAATACGTTCTCTTAAGATTTTACGCAACATCATATATGTGTTCATAAACATCACCCCTAGCACTGTACGAATTCGCGTGTAAACTTTGTAGGGTCAAAACAATGTCACTCTTAGTATAAATCGCCGTAAACGTTTGACATACTTATGTTTTTATCTCAATGTCCTGAATCTTCACATGCATGTTTACAAACGTCGCCTCTAGTACACATTTACATTTAAACCTCCTACAATTAAACAGCAAGCTGATGTTTACCATAAATAGACTCTCCGGTTTACATATATAATTTCTTATCTGATGACCATGCTACTTCACCTACAGGTCGACATCCCCTTACAATCTACTCCGAGGTCAAAAATAAGAACATTGTGAATACAAAATCTAGACTAAATACTTCATTTTTTAACGCATCGTCTTTAAATTAGAATACATGTTCATCAGAAAATATCCTATTATGCCACTTCACGTGTCGGGGACCTTTCTAAGACCGCCGTAACTTTAAAAAAAAGGTATTGACCCTAGGTTACTCTTAACACCTGTCCTTTTTAGTAGCGCCTAGATAAGGCATGGTCTGCTTAATGTTAATTAGAGAATACTTCTCGATGGCGTTTAAATGTGATTCATATCAACAACCATATTTAACAGTATATGTTTAATAGTCCATCGCAAGGAGTGATCGAGGGTAAATAAACAAAAATGTACTAGTCTGTACTGTACATGTTCTGTGCACTCGGTTACCCCACTATTATCGTATTTGCACTAGTCTTCAAGTATGTGTTAAAAAAGTACACGTGCACGTTTTAACAGTTTGGGATCAAAAACATGTTCACTGTTACTATAAATACAGGAGTCGGTTCTGACGTTGTTGTCCTCTTTAGTTATCTCTCTGCATACTTCATTTTTATCTGAAACTTTATGTTTTACTTTAAGTGGCGGTTTTACACTGATGAGGTCGCGGTTGTAGGCAGCAAAATCATGGTACTAACTTTGCACCGACCCAAGTGATTATTTCGCAATAATGTTGTCGTTGTTGCAATTTGCTTTATCTTCAAAAAAGTGTGCATTATCAGTAGAGATCTCCTGTACTGTATATTGTTCACACTATCTTACTATATGTATCTATCCAAACACTATAACTACTAATCATACCCTTTTTGAACAATGGACAGAATTGTTTTTCGGTGTGTTGCTAATGATTGAGGTAGATGCATTTTGCAATAATTATGATCAGGGACCTTGTGTTGCTGGTGAGATTAAGTATGAAGTTTCATACTGTACATCTAGGAAACATGATATCTTCTCGGCTAATTACCCATATTTAAGCATTTCCTACCATATCTCAACTCTATTCAGGCCTTACAATGTTCTCTTTCTTTTAAATTGAAATAAATTTCCTTATACTCATACCACGATGATTGTTGGTTGTTGACATTTTCAAAGAAGTATAAACATTAAAACTACCATGACCGGTAGTGCAGTAGATAAGCTTTGTGGCTTTTTTTTTTTTTTCGAGGAACGATCGAAACACGAAGTTTTATAGTACAATGTCCTTAATGAAAAACATGTTTCTCATTTACATAAAATGATCTCTTTTTATTGTACTCGATTGGTATCCGGGTCAGTTCTTTGTGGTGAAGATTTGTTTAGTGATGTACAAAAACAATTTCTTTCAAATTTTACTGTTGTTTTAGTAAATGAACCATATACTGCCCATTAAATTTGGATTGTTATTTGTAGGAAAAGCTTTGATGATGATGAGAATTAGAATTTAAAAAAGAGGAAGCTTTTTTAAGTTCAGAGGACTAAATAGCGGTTTTAAAACCTCTTGGGTCAAATAGCGGGGCCACTGTAGCTTTATTTAAAACATTTTACTGCCATCGCTGAACAGAGGTATTTTCTCTTTAAATTGTCACGAAATTTAATATATGTTTTCATACTGTACGAGTTTGCGTGTAAACTTTTTAGGGTCAAAAACAATGTAACTAAGTATAAATCTATCTTTGCCGTAAACGTTTGACATACTTATGTTTTTATGTCAATGTCCTGAATCTTCACATGTATGTTAACAAACGTCGCCTCTTGTACACATTTGCATTTAGACCTCATACAATTAAACAACAAGCTTATTGTTACCATAGATAAACCCTTCGGTTTACATTATAAAGTTTCCTATCTTATGGCCATGCTACTTCACATACAGGTCGACATCCCCTTACACTCTGATCTGAGGTCAAAAACAAGAACATTGTGAATGCTTCATTTTCACTAACACATTGTCTTTAAATTTAGAATACATGTTCATAAACATATCATCTTATGCAACTTCACGTATCGAGGATCTTTCTAAGACCGCCGTAACTTAAATTTGTTTTATTGACCCTAGGTGACTCTAAACACGTTTTAGTAGCGCCTATATAAGGCATGGACTGCTTAATGTTAATAACAGAATACTCCTTGATGGCTTTTGAATGTAAATTATATCCCCACTCGTAGATTAGTAGATCAGACCTCGTGACTACTTGATATTAATAAGTTCCTGACCGTTGACAATCAGGCTAGTAATTTGTGACAATTTGTTGCTACTGGGACTCCTGCTGTAAAATGATAATTTACAGCCTCTCGTTATTAAACTGTAAATTAAATACCCTGGGACCGCATCTGAATAATCAAAGAAATGATGTTACCAGAATTATTTCTCCCCCCCCCCCCAAAAAAAGCTAG